TTGAGGCTTCCTCGGATTTTGATTTTATGTATCAAACGTTGATTGAATTAGGAAGACTTGGGTTACGCTTCCCAACAGTTGATTGAAAGGCGCATCAATACCAGTTTTTCCTTGTTCGAAAGATTAAAATAAATAAATAACAAGGCTTTAAATATGAGTTGGTTATAGAAGATATACAAAGTAAATCGAAAAGAGAGGAAGAAAACATTTAAATTGACGAGACTAACATTAAAGGGACGGATAAAGTAATATGATGCGAAAAATAAAGACTTTATGAGAAACTGAGATTAGAATAAAAAGAAGAAACGTTAAAATGAAGAAAAGAATTAACATTAAAGTATTGGACGACGCCACTATATTTAAAAAGGTAATAATTAGAACACTTGAATCTAGGTGGCTTAATGAATTCGTTATCATCGATAGCACACAAAATTGATTAGGTATTCGAAACACGAAATAATGTTGCAAGTTCGTTATCACGTGTCATTTAATCTCGATTTCTAAGAATCATGCATAGGCCTAACTATCATATTAGTCTAATTACGGAGAATTTGCATGCGTTATGCGTGAAAAATGATTCGAATTGTCAATCTCTCATACTATACACGTCAGAGTCGCACGTAGGCTACGCCTACTGACTGCGTAAATGTTTGCCTCAGTTAATAAACAAAAGTACTCTCAGGCTAACAGTCTACCGGTGATTCTGACGTAGACGTCTATCTACCGTACATTTTAGTAAACTGCACAATGGTGTATTATGTATGTTTTTGCCATGTAGATTAGCTCAAATGTAGGCCAATGTGCACGCTGTTCACACATGTGTGTATAAGTACCGTAAGTGTTGGTTATAGGAACTGCACTACCTTATTATTTTTTAAACATTTTCTGTTGAATTTTAAACTAATTTAAGTAAAATAGACCTTTGAATTATTATTTTTGAGCCGAATATGTTAAAGAAATATTCAATTATGTAATTCGGGTTTTCCATTTACAAGCTTTGCTTCTGGAATTTCCCATTTTCTTTGATCTCCAAAAATGAGTTTATGTACATTTATATTTTCGTTAAATTTTCATGCTCAAAAGAAATAAATATTTTGTTATTGTCATTGTCATTGTCATTATTTAATCATAATCCGCTCAAGACAAAATGAGCAAGGGGCCTATCTAATTTTAATAACCCAACTTTATAGTTTCAATTGTGCATGCCTAAACTGAATTAGGCCTAAGTATTTCCATTTTTTCTAGTTTAGTATCTAGTGAAGTTGGTCTGCCTCTAGAGAGCCCCACGGACATCTCAAAGAAATGTTTTCTGTTTGAGCTGTCTATACCGACTGCAATCACGCTTCAGCAACATTTGACACACCCGATAATACGGAATACATTCGCCATTAACACGTCTTGCAATAGAAAACATCTTGCAATAGAACAGTATTATATATTTCATTTCGTCCTTTCCATGCCATCTTTAAAACATTACATAAGATACAAAAGTGAACCTAAAATGGAAAAGTATTTATTAGAAAAGTGTAACTTCCATGCATCAAGTTTAAAATTTAAAGCTCGTTCTAACTCACTACCTCTTGAAGGAAGAAAGGAATCTTGGTTACCTCAAAATGTAGGCGTATGCTTATTATGTGACTGCGTGACAAAGGAAACCATCAATCTTTGTGTATTTGATTGTACCAGATTAAATAACATTAGAAAGTTAATATTTGACCAACTTAAAGAGGATTTACATATATTTTGGGAATTATTCACATCAAGCTCTCCTGAACTTAAATACCATCTTTTGTTTGATGATTTAGAAATCCATTACGAATATCAAATTTTAACAACAAGTTGTAAAAACCCTATTAATTATAATATTGCGAGTAAAGTTTCGATAATCATTGTAAATTACTTTTAACGATGGCATGGAAAGAACGAAATAAAATATATAATACTTTCTATTGCAAGACTATGTCTGTTTTTTGTTTTTGTTTTTTTAGACTAATGTTATTGATTTAAATTTACAATATTTACTCCTTTATATGTATATATGTATATGTATGTGTCTATATGTGTATGTGTATTAACCTATTTACTTATATTATTAGTATTAGTTTTTATTATTATTTCTATTACTATTTTTGTAAACCCTTTTTATATATATTTTGTTCTACTGCAGTATTTTCTTACTATATTTAATCACAGTAATTAAGTTTTTACTGATTTTGTTATTGTTGCACATTTTTACGGTTGTGCCTCTGTTATAAATGAGAAGCAATAAAGTTACTTACGTATACTCACGTTTTAACCCATGGTACGCGTTACTGCCACTTCAATCGGTGGAATTTAATATGATAACTAGGATGCAATGTTTCTCATTTCTATAATCGATACAGGCTCATTACGTTTACTCACCAAGTAGTTTCCATTTTATTTGAACACTCATAGAGTAGAAACATTTATTCACACAACAATAAGAAATAATGGGGGAAAAAAATACAAATTCTTCCCACCAAATATATCGAAATAATCTTCAATAATTAGAATAAACCTTATTATAAGTCAGTGGTGACGTCATCGCTTTCATTTGCTGTGAATTATCCTATCCCAGCCTGATCACTAATTCGATATAGTGCCTCCGATTTTTTGCGTCTCGTGTGCAAAAAGCTTCAAGCTGGGGTGATTTTACTACTAGGCCAAGCTATGAACGCACACAGCGAACCTTACAAATTTCGCTCTAATTAAGGTGCTGAATGGAACACGAATGAACCCTAGGCAGTCCTAGGCAATGCATAGAAAGACATAATGGTTATGAAATAAGAAGGTGATTTGACTTATAAAATAACTGAAAAAAAATAAGGCAACGATGAAATAATTTATAATAATGTTTATAATACATTTTAATCTATTAAACAAAATGTCTACCAGGAGGTTAGGCCTACCTAATAACCCCTAATACACGTCATTAACCACAATCAATTTATTCATCTTCTTCGCATCGAGAAGAGCTAGCTGCAAAGTGTCAAGAATGTAGTGCGCAATACGGGCATACGCACAGTGATCACTGAGCAACCGACCACCGCAAACAGAAGTTTGATTTATGATAATTATAGCAACCGCTCTACAACCAGCAGTTTGATTAACCGGGCGATAGAAAATGTGATGGACGTCACAACTGACTTATAAAGCAATTACAGTCAAGTAATTTCGTACTCTGTAGGAAATAGAAACTATTGGAGACATTCCTTCAAAAATTGCCGCCTTCAGTCATGCGGGCTTCAGGCATTTTTTCAGGACATAATGGCTCCTTCGGCTTTTATTTCCTATAGTGTACTCAAAACATGACTATAATTGCTCATTATTATAACCTTGTTATTATATTACGGCCCCGATTACGGCCCAGCTGATGAAAATCCTCAACAGCCCTTTTCAACAACTATTTGAATGCTGAGATCTGTCTCCCAAGATACTGAATGTCAGACGGAGGAACACTTATGTATTTATTATATTTGATACAAAGTAATGCTTGGGTTACGAATTTTCCAATATTTCGAAATGAGTGTGTTTCCAGCTTTCCAGTCCAGGTTACAAAATCTTTACCCACATCGATACACCTGTATATCTGTAGGCCTATTGCATCAGGTAGATCGGAACTCTATGCTACCGTCGCTAATCAACACTCGCAAGTGTTTCATCCATAAAAGGTGTACACTCATCAGCACACATCATCTAACATGTTAGTATAGGCAGGTACGATTGCTCATCAGTACAAAAACACTATACTCATTTTAAAATACGAAAATAGACCTCCGGTAGCTAATCAGCAGTCAGGTAGTTCATTATTCCAGATAGATCATCAACAACCTGAAAGCTTATCTAAACAGGTAGATAAGCGGTAACAAATCAATTTCCACATCCATTAACTTTGTTTAAAATTAGGCAATAAATAATGATTATTTGAATGAGTGTGGATGTATGTGAAATAAATTTTTAGTACCAATCGCGTTTAATACCAATTTGCTCTATTAATGCAACTCATCGTACTGTTGCTATCCCGCATTTTAATAATTAATCCGGTTCAGGGTGACGTAGCTTCACATATTCCTCGAGACCCGGTTGTCCTGCCAGCGTTCCATGGGTATGGTTTTGTCCAGACAAATTTTCTTTAACAAAAAGAAAACTGTTGTATGCTCATATATACTCATGATTTGCCTATATAATTATGTTCATGTTGTGATGTCATCATGACCCTATACATGTCAACTGTTTTTTTTGTCAAATAAGATTTGATAGGCTGGATAAGCCGTTACAGTATAGAACTACTATTAAGAGATCAAATTTAGGAGCAACAAAACTGTTTCCCTAATAGGGGTGTCCTCTTAATAAGGGTATGCCTACCTTTGTTGTATTTAGGAGACTAACCTAAAAAAAAAAACCACGAAATTGTCCCCTTAAAAGTTTTTGGCACGCGGCGTACAACTTAAAATGATAGATTAGGCCTATTTATTCTTTTGGTTTTATTGACCTAAGTAAAAAAAGCATTTTAAATAAGAAAATAATTTTACAATGCAAATAAAATAAATATATGATGCAAAAAATAAACGTAGATTAAAACAACATAATTTGTATAATTTTTTTCCATGATTCAATGACATCAGTGACTATTCTTTTATACTGGATGCATTACATATTAGAATAAATGAGTTTAAAAAGTAAATGAAAATAAAATAACAAGATGAAAATAAAATAACAAGATGCATTTTTGCCCAAGAGAACAAGTACAATCCAAACACATGAAGGGCCAAATACAAGATCAGTTCCAAGTGAAATCCCTTGTTTAAGCTTTTTTTAGAAGCACACTTACGCTGTTGGTCTATCGCTGGCATAAAATGTAGTACGCGCTGCACAATAGCCAAAGGGCGTGCTCGAACTTTTTACATCTTTAATAGAGAAATGTGTTATGATGTCGTAAGAGTACACTTTAATGTTAAACTATGGAAGTTGGTACTTACCTCTTTTAACATATCACGTGTTTTAGAGTCTGAAGAAAAAACAAATCCACATTGTAACGAGAATCGCACAACAGAAATGGACAAAGTGATTGTCAACAACGCCGGCAACGAAAATGGAAGCATTGTGTAGCTGGCGAAAATAACAAATATTACAAACCATTCAAAATCTAGTAAAGAAGAATACCTGCAAATACCATGATAAATAATGATAGATGCGTTCAATTCAATCGCTAATAAGATCCACGTTAGTATGCCAATCCATCGAAGTTTTTTTAATGAAAGTCTTTGATAAATAATAAGAAGTAGAAATACGAGGAAATTAAGAAGGAATGATACTCCTGAGGCGATAATGAGTCCTGTATGGTACCCCTCCATGTTGAACAAAACAACAATAAGAAGAATTTTTGCCAGCATTTCGATACCGTGTAGTACCATCAACGATCTTTGTCTTTGTTTTAAAAAGTATCGTTGGTACAAAGATTCAAGTTCACTCGATTTGAAATCGCACTTCATTGTTGGCAATATTATTCCACTTGCGGACGTCCCACATGATCTACATGCATCCTCCAGTCGACTAGACATGGATAAACCCGACGATCTGTTTCGTAGGAATGCAGCCATTGTATTATTAACAGGGTATGGGTGAACTTGTGTAGTCTTTCGACGAAGATTTTTAAATTTACTTGTTCTACGCGGAGGCGATGAACTATCTCTTCTAGAATATAGAGAGTCAGAACTTTCCAATTGCGTTGCGTTATGGAATCGTAACCGTTTTAAAGCATCTTCCCAAAGCGAAGCCCCTCTCGAGCGTAAACGGACATCTAATAGACCAGAACTTGTGGTAGGAGTTATACATTCTACTGTATCCGGAGGTATATTTTTAATGTTTGCATTATTTTGTGTTACCTCGGTAGTGTTGCCGGCATTTCTTGTACCATCGCTTGGTTGAGGAATCTCGTTAGTCGTGCTCGTTACGTCTTTGTCCAATCCGCTCGTTTCGTGAACAGCGCTTGATTTTGGCTTGCTTTCTTGATTTGAACATCTTTCGACTAATGACTCGGCGCCCGACGTTTTACCTACACATTGGTTATAACTGTTTCCACACGAAAATAAATCATACATATTATTCGTCATGTGACTCGTAAGCAATGTCGCATTGTTAGCAACTGAATAAGCGTTTGTGTTAGTATTTAATCCACCGGGTGTTGTCATATTACATGTTATGATGATATAATAATGATATCGAAGCAAAAGCACAAGGTGAGCGGCGAGTTGATTTAAATTATTTGCTTAGAGCTAATGTCCCAGCAGTCAAACGTGCAATTCGATGGAATATATCGCTATAAAATTGATATTTATTGTAGAACGACTATATCGGCATGAATTGCGTCAGGAACTGGTTGGAAAGTCTAGATTGATGAGACGCATCAGACAAGGAAGGAAGCCGTTGACGAATGGTACCGTACCGGTAGTTGATGAAGACTTGGACACCCAAAATAGACACACAAGAAATTTGATTGCCTATGAATTGAGAAAACAGACAATGTTATTAATTAGTGTTCAGTAATAAAATGGAAGACTTGTTTCCCTGTGTTTATTAATGTGTGTGTTTATTCTTCATGCCCTCTGTGTCGCGCGTGCATTCAGATATATCATATGAATAAATCACGAAACTGTAGAGATGATAATATCATAATGTTGCCAGATATATGTATTAATCAAATGAGCAAGAGACACC